TTGCAAAACAAACGTTCTGCTGAACGCAGCCAATATAACGTAGTTCGTAGCTTGAAAACATTTTCTGTGTATGTACATACACCGATGAGATATTATTAAAGACCGTCAACCCTGGATAAATTTTCGGCGGTATAAAAAAGGCCCCAAGGGCCCAGAGGTAATCGAAGAACGCTGACATTATCGACAATTGATATAAATTTGCTATTATTAACATAATCGTGTAAACGTAGTCCCTAGTCCGGTCTTACCCCGGATCTACAATAGAGTTTTAAGCCTTAAGCCATAAGAAATGAACGAATCATAGTCGATTATTCCCCTCGAATTCGACTGTAATTGGTTAAATTCTTACAACTTAAGGCTTGAAACACCTATTGTAGATTCGGACTTAAGCGGGGAGCACAGACTCTTGCATAACGCATAACACGTAATGCATAAGAAAATGTACCAATCAAAGCCCTCCGTTTCCTTCCTTTCCATGAAATAAAGAATTCTGATTGATTGAATTTCTTATGCATTACATGTTATGCGTTATGCAAAAGTCTGTGCTCCCCGCTTAACACTGAAATCACAATTTTAAAGAAAAATCGAGTATTATTGAGTTTTAAATGCACATACACCGATAAACACGTCTAAACTAATAAATCATAAAATTAGTACAATATTATCAGTTTTTTTTACTCTTAATCACTTCAATATTAACAAGGACGCGAATTCCCATAAGGATGTCCATCTTTAATAATATCTCGTCGGTGGTACATACCAGTACATACCAAAGAGAAACCTGAGAACCACAGAACATCCTTGTGCGACGGCGACAGTGACACTTGAATTTTGAAAACTCCTGTACACTAGCGGCACCAACCATCATTTTTATAGAACAAATATGAACTACGTATCACATTATCGATACTGTTGATAAAGTCGAAAAATTGATATGGTGTGAATCCATGCTAAATTGAAAATTGATATGGAGCGAATTCTGTTACGTTCAAAAATTGCGGATGCAAAAGATAATATGCATATATGTATATATGTATATATATCCAGAAAACATAAAATCGTCTAAAAAATGACTAAATTAACTGTTATAAAGATATCTTTGAAAGAATTTATATAGTGAAAGAATATAGGCTGATATATTCATAGTCGGTTCTTATTATTACGAAATAGTGTTGATAATGTTGTTTTTCTTCCAATAATTTCGGAAAATTATAGAATTCATTCATAGTTTTAAAAAGTACGTATAAGCTCAATATCCTTACAGATCACATTTTTAATTGATGCATTTATACAATATATTTAATAATGTTACGTCCAATTTGTTATTTAGATCTCTATTAGATTTTTGTAATATTTTCATGTAATATTCTAATTTAAGTTATTTAATTTTTTTAAAATCAATGCCATATCCTACAACCAAAAAACATATATTATATTGAATATGAGAAGAATAATATGTGAAAACTATATATACTTACTTTAATACTTGCATTCCATTTTCTTTTCTATTGATCTAGAGCCTTCTTGATCCTGGTGAAAAAAATTTTTTCTGAATTTCTCTAAAAATTTTTCTGAAAAAGTCCAAAAATTTATTTGAAAATGTCCAGAATTTCGGACACGTTGCAGAGTTTTTCAAAGAAGTTTTCAGTATAATTTCAGAGAACTCACTTATCAGAGTATTTCAATCATTTTTAAAGATTTTCATAAAATTAGTTGAATATATTCATAGACTTTCAGAGTTTGTCAGAGAATTGTTCGAAGATTTTCAGAAATTTTCGATGTTTTTAAGAGAAGTTTCATAGACTAATGTCAGAAACTTTCCGAGTTTTGCAGGTAATTTTAATTACATTTTCAGACACTTTCAAAGATTTTCGAAATTTTTTAGAGTATTTTACACTGTTAAATCTGTAGCGTCAAATTTAACTCCATTTGAGTCGCTACTGTTCCTACTCAATATATCATTATTTTATAAAATAATGGAGTTAAACAGTTTAAAACAGTTGAAATTGAGCTAAATTTGACTATAATATAGATTTAACAGTGTATAAATTACTCTAAGAAATCCTCTCAAAGAGGATCTTCAAAAATTTCTGAATGTCTGAACATTTAATTAAGATTATCTGCAAAACTCTGAAAGTCTCTGACATCAGTATAAAAAATTCTCAATTTACAACTCAAAAAATGTATTAAATTTGACTTAAATTTATTTAATATTTACTAAATGCATACTTCTTGCGACGTACTAATTTCTCTAATTATAAAGATTTTTCCTTATTATCTAGAAATGCTTATTGCTTCTGAATAGTAATTCGATAATGCTTGTTATCCCGGAATAGAAACAATTAACAATAAGAATCAATCAGTCATTGAGTGATCTTATGTGCATTTATGCGAATTTGTTAGAATTATTTGTAGCTAGGTAAGGTATTTTACTATCTCACGCCATGTCTTAGCGTTGAGACACTACCGTGTTTCCAGATTTGACAGAGATTTAGATTAAGATGTTCATATTTTTGAAATCATTTTCATAGAAAGACATTGTGTGACGTAAAAATTATTGAAAAAAAATCTCTGAAAACTTCTGAAAACTCAGTAGCTTTGAAAATAGTGATATTTCTGAATTCCCGAGTTTCAGCAAAATTCAGAGACTGTCAAACACTTGGAAAGGATTTTCAAAGAAATCGCTGAAAGTCTCTGAAAAGTGAGAAACCTTGAAAATTCTATCTTAGTAGCGTCAAATTTAACTCCATTTGAGTCGCTACTGTTCCTACTCAATATATCATTATTTTATAAAATAATAGAGATAAACAGTTTAAAACAGTTGAAATTGAGCTAAATTTGACTATAATATAGATTTAACAGTGTATAAATTACTCTAAGAAATCCTCTCAAAGAGGATCTTCAAAAATTTCTGAATGTCTGAACATTTAATTAAGATTATCTGCAAAACTCTGAAAGTCTCTGACATCAGTATAAAAAATTCTCAATTTACAACTCAAAAAATGTATTAAATTTGACTTAAATTTATTTAATATTTACTAAATGCATACTTCTTGCGACGTACTAATTTCTCTAATTATAAAGATTTTTCCTTATTATCTAGAAATGCTTATTGCTTCTGAATAGTAATTCGATAATGCTTGTTATCCCGGAATAGAAACAATTAACAATAAGAATCAATCAGTCATTGAGTGATCTTATGTGCATTTATGCGAATTTGTTAGAATTATTTGTAGCTAGGTAAGGTATTTTACTATCTCACGCCATGTCTTAGCGTTGAGACACTACCGTGTTTCCAGATTTGACAGAGATTTAGATTAAGATGTTCATATTTTTGAAATCATTTTCATAGAAAGACATTGTGTGACGTAAAAATTATTGAAAAAAAATCTCTGAAAACTTCTGAAAACTCAGTAGCTTTGAAAATAGTGATATTTCTGAATTCCCGAGTTTCAGCAAAATTCAGAGACTGTCAAACACTTGGAAAGGATTTTCAAAGAAATCGCTGAAAGTCTCTGAAAAGTGAGAAACCTTGAAAATTCTATCTTCAGAAATCACTGAATTCTCGAGTTTTAGCGAAATTCAGAGCCTTTTAAACACTTGGAGATGACTTTCGGAGAATTCGCTGATAATCCCTTAATTTCTTTGAAAAAGTTTCTGAATGTCACTAAAAATCTCTGAAAAATGATTTCAGACATTTTCAGCGAAATTTTCAGAGACATTTTTTCACCAGGGGAGACTCTAACGTATTATAATTAGCAGCATTGCCACTTGTATGTACATATAATTCGTCGGTATTAGTATCACTGTATTGTTTTATTAATATAGGCAAAGAGATCTTTTCTATTGATTTTACAGATGATTCTAAAATTTTGAAATTAAAGTATGTGTTTTAAGGCCCAATATATCAGCAGACAATATTTAAAAAATATTTTTTTAATATATATATATATATATTTAATGTAAAAATATTAAATAAATATTAAAAAAATTTTTTAAATATTGTGCTGATTGGGGAAAGATATATTTTAATTATTATATCATTTATTTATATATTCTATAATTTTCAGATTTATATATACTCCAGTAGGTCTATTCTGTAACTTTTTTAACGACAGTTCTCTCGATATCGTTATATTATCGTTGCGCAATTTTTTTATTTCATATAAAATATCTGCGCAACGATACTGTAACGATATCGACACTCTCATTACGAGTTACAGAATAGGGCAGCTGTATACACAACTTCATTTCATGAAGTAAAATTAAATAAAACAATAAAATTTTTTATGAAGAGAATTGAATTAAAAATACATTACACATAAATATAACATATATCATAAATCCCTTATATCTATATATGATTCATTTTATGCTAGAAAAATATTTTTCAATAAGACACACTTCTTTATAATCCCTATCACCGTAACAAATTAATTATACGCTGTTAATTGTACAGTTTTAATTTAACGAGAATAAAAAATAGAATCGTCATAGAATATAATGCTTTTTACACACGCCATAATTTTTATAACTTTTTCTTACGATAAAACGTACTTGTTTCTAAACAAACTAAATTGCTATGAGAGAGAGAGATATGACGAAGATAACAACAATTAATATAATCCTAATAATTAAATGAAAATTTAAGATATAAAAAAATATTACTTTCTGGCGTATATAGGATTGTCTTTCAAAAGCATATTTCTCACAATGCTAATACACAATATAAAATATTATTTAAATTTAATTCCATGAGTGACAAAACCTGTTACAATAAAAGTTACACCAGCGATATGACTTAATCGATCAAGGTTTCTCACTGGCAATTGCTACAACTCTATTAATTCATTTTTAAACAATGGTACCCCAATTCAATCTACTCACAAAGATGTTTCGAACGTGTTATTCACCATTGGATCTGTGAAAAGAATTCTAACACATCGACTGCGATATACGCTGGATCAGTTTTAATGTAATTATAATTCACGCTGACGATTAAACATCAGTTCACGCTTGTAATTCACTCGAGAAAGATGCAACTGAAAGCTCAATGTCTTCGTGGTTTGTTCTCTCTAACATTGGTGCTTTTATTGCGTAGATGGTTTGTTACAAGCGTTAATGCATATCCAGTACAGCTTTTTAATCCTTGGATAATAAGACCGCTACAAATATTACCGAAAATGATGAAAGCAAGGAAGTCTGCTAGTAGCCCAATTATTAGCTACAGACGTGAGTATAAAGAAATGAAACTTATTCTCTGATTATGCCTGGAAATGTATAGACGAAAATACCACGGATATCTATATGAAAATAACTAAAGATATTCAAAGACCAGAAGGTTTGCGGGTTATCGCCATGTTTTTATCTATTGCTAATGCACAAATAGGTAAATAAGAAAAAAAATATCTTTTATTAAATTAAACTATTAATTAAGTTATTAAGTATTTATTAAGTAAAATTATTAACATATACGATACCAAAGACAATATTCTATTTTTTAACTATTAATCCTTTGCATCCATGAGGAGATTCTCAGAATCTCACCTTTTTTCGCTCAGTTTTTAATTATTTTGATGAATTTCTTGATGTTAAGTATCAGGTTTTTTTGTTTTCGTAGTTCTTAGAACATGAACAAGTGTTAAAAAAATAAGCAACTATAAATTTTTATTTGTATAATTTACAAAAAAACGCATTTTATACCGAACTGTTATCAATATCGAAACGGCAATTTAGCATTCATTTAGGACATTCTAAAATGTTTTCAGAATTTTGTCAGACTTTTTCGTTACGTTTTTTTTTTATTAAAAATTTTATTATAGAAAAAAGGGACACTGATAAGGATAGTTATCCTATTTATATTTATACAGTTGATTCATGGTCTCAATACAATAATCCTGAAGAAGGAGCACAACTAGAAGGAGATATACGTCGGAAATCGAGAAAAACCATTACAACGGAAAAAACTTTACTATGGCCTAATGGTATCGTGAAATACTATGTTCATTCATCCATAGGTGAGTTTCTACAAATCTAAGTCGAAATAGTGGTTTACACGCAACTAAGACTAGTTTACAAATGAAGTTTACGTATTCCAATAAAAATAAAATATTAGATATTTAAGATTTGTTTGTTAGATCTAAATATTTAAAGATTTATTATCCGTTCCAGTTAATGAGCCGCTAAAATTCGTTATGCTAGAGACTGCGTTACATATAATAATGTCGAAGACGTGCATTAAATTCATCCGTATTGATGACTATACAGAGCTTTCAAAAAATAGTGGTTGGGTCAATATCACAGGTCATGAAAAGGGTTGCTACTCTGATATAGGATATAACGTGTACGGGCCTACTATTCTAAATCTAGACGTAAAGGAATGCTTTTACACAATTGGACACTCAATACATGAGATGTTGCATACTTTAGGTGTATATCATGAGCATATGAGACCAGATCGCGACAAGTACATCAACATAATATGGAAAAATATGAGAAAGGGTAATAAATACAGCATGTAAATTAATACTAAACTAAAGGACTAAGAGATGATTCTTACAGAAGATGAATTCAACTTCGAGCTATTAAATAATAGTATCGTAACTAATTTTGGATTACCGTATGATTACGATAGTATAATGCACTATTCTATGACGGCATTTTCTACTGATCGGTCACTTCCTACAATAATACCTAAGGTAATATCAATTTTTGAATAAACATAAAAAATATTATAAAAACTAAATAAAATTTTTAATACTTATGATATTTGATTTATCGAATATGTAATTTTATTAATTAAATAAATAATAAAATTCTTTTCTTACAGAATTTTTATGAGGAGATTGGTCAAAGAAGTCACTTATCGTATTACGATATAAAAAAATTGCTAATTGCTTATAACTGCAACACTGACAGTACTGACAAATTAAAAAAGAAACCCTTCAACAAACCTAAGAAACTGAAGAAACTTCCTAAGCGTAAAAAATTACAAGATACAACAGTCATTAAAACAAAAAAAAATCACAAATGTCGATCATCATTATAAATAATTCGATATCAACAAACAAATAACAAAAATGATCTAGAAAAGTCAATGGATAGATTTAACCAAATAGCTTTCTCAAATTATTAATATATTATATCCTATTCAGTCCAATTATTATCCTATGCCCCTTACTCAAATATATCTACATATATAAATTTTCATTTGTATTTGCATAAGAATTGAATAATAAAATCTATGATAGAATAAATAAAATTTTTAAGTTAAAAAATGAGTTTAATTCAAGTTAATAAAAAATATATACATACAACGTTTCAAAGCAAATTCTAATAATGCAAGATTCGTATTATTATTGTTAATTATGACTATTGGCTTCGGATACATGAATCATTAAATAAGTTTCATTTTTACCATGATTTTCATAATTAGTTTACAGCTAGTATTCTTTACTTTTGTCTTTTCGCGCACGTTTATGATCACTATGCTTTGAATGTCTTTCTGATTTATCGCGATCTCCAGATTTATGTTTCTTTTCATGATATTTATCTTTGTGTTTGTCTTTGCTTCGATATTTGTCTTTTTTGTGCGACTTCTGTTCTCTCGAATGCGATGAAATTTCTATATTTTTATATTCATGCTTGTGCTTTCTGTCTGTTTCATCCGAATATCTTTTTTGTCTGTCTTGTTCTCTTGATCGATGATAATTTCTTTCTTCTGAATGCTCTTTTTTTCTCTTGTGGAAATCACCATTTCCTTCTTTAGAATTATATTCGTCATTGTTGCGGGAAGAAGAATGAAATACTTTGTATAAGCGTTCAGTTCTATCTTGTATTTGTTCATAATTTGAATCATCTATTTCGGTGTTGCGAACATCTGTTACATGTCCAGAATTACTTTGTCCAGAGGTATAATCTACAAATATTTCCATTTGTTGATTAATCACTTCTCTGAGAATTTCAATATAAGATCTTTTATTTGTATGAACGCCTTTATGCTTTGTTCGACGCCTTTTCAAGTTGCGCTCTTGTATTAACAATTCCAAAAATGACAATTCTTTATCTTCTTTTTCTTGTGGCTCCCTAGAAAAACAATTTACAATATCCATAAACTTAATATAAGAGTACATACATAATATATAAATACTAGCACAGACATACATTAATTATAAATATTAGTTTAAATTTTTAAAACTCACAAATTATTAATGTTTGCAATGTCTTCTCCAATGTCTGGCTTTGCGGTATTAGCAATGACGTAGTTATACAGCGCTTTTCTTTCGTCATTGGTGAAATCTATGACAATCCTATCAGATGTACGCGGTACTAACCGCTCACCCATACCTATTATCAATGTTAAGAATTTACATTTTTCATATAGTTATAACAATACAATCATAAAAGATAAAGCAATAAAAGTTTCTTGCAATTTTAAAGTAATAGTTGTACAGTTTTTTTTTAAATTGTATTACTAGATAGGAAAATTATATAAATAATTATTAGATTGCAAATATGTCTTTACAATATTGTGGTTATAAAATATTAAATAAAGGATATGTAAAAGGATATATTGAATCTGCGCCACAAGTATAACAATCATAACTTGCTGGAAAAAATTTCATTGTCATTTAAAAGACATACAAATGCATACAATCGATATGTTTTTACTAACCAGTTTGCATCGCTGAATTTTCTTCTTTGGCATTCTTGAGAACTTGTTCTTGCAGTTGTTCATCTACAACAAATATTTCATGAAAGTATAAGAAATTAATATAATTCTAGGAAACTTATAGCGCTTATCCTAAAGAAGTTGCTTACCAAACTTTATACAGAATGGTGAATCTTCTGGTAGAGTTGGTTCTGATAGTGGAACATCTAGCTTTCCGTAACCTTCAGCTTTCCATTGACAAGAGACAAGATGATCATTGAGAGAGGCTTCTGTTAACCGGTGGGATGGATCATATGGGCATGTGAAATATTCCTTGTCCTACATAAGTAATAGTTAAAAGTAATATATCCAAGAAAAAGAGAGAGAGAAAGAGATATCTATATTATACTTATATACCACGTTCGTTACGCTCTCCACAGTCCAACCTAAAGTTCCAACGATATTGGCAATTTCTTCGTTAACTGTATCAGTAAAGTTCTTCAATTCCTTTAATTGTTGCTCACGAGAGTCATTTATATTCTTTAACATGTTGATTTCAATTCTGTCTCGCATGAGAATTTAAATGAACAGTCAAATCATCATATAAAGTTAGGGCTGTCAGAAGGTAATTATTTTCTTGATAATTATTTAGTTCAACATTTTTTTGCTAATCTTCACTAAATGATAAACTTTAATGTGTCTTTAACCTTTCAGATTATATGATACAAAAGAGGTAAATTTTGACAATTATGCGATATCGGATTAAGGTTAGAATACGCTTACTAATGTTTGTGCGCAAGTATGAAGAAGGACATATACATTTGTCGTTCATTATCGGAGAGACATCTATTGATAATTATATGAACTAACATGCTTTAGGGCCGATTCTTCCAACTTCTTGGTAAAATTTATCTGTTAGGTAAGTAGCAAGATTATCCAATCACGTGGGCGGATTGCCATATTTATCTGACAGGTAAATTTTACCAAAAGATAGAACAATCGGCCGCTAATAGCGGCTGTGTTCCGTTTCACGCCTGATGCGCATGATCTTTTATCCTTGTTATTCACCGAATATTAAACAAGGATAAATGATGCATTACGAACATCAGCACATTATGCGTGAAACGTGCAATGACGTTTTGTGCTCTCCTATTGGTAGAGCGTGTAACGTTAACCAATAGGAAAGATTAATCCAATCCAGGTTGGTGCAAACCCGATCGGGCCGAAGACGCTATAAATTTTGATTGGTCACATTGTGATTTTAGAATAGACCTTTTGCAACAGTTCAGACAAAAAGAACAGGCCTAATGGCTACGTTCAGTAGAAAAAGCAGCTAAAAAGAACAAATCTAGAGTGAGTATGATCATTGAAGTGAAATGCACGCTGTACGCCAGTGATGAGTGATGCCACTTCCAGCGCATTTACGGCATTTTACGGCATGTGGAGAGAATATGGCGGCAAGCGGCGGCCGCTGACGATCGAGCCATCCACGAGCCGTAAAATGCCGTAAATGCGCTGAAAATGGCATCACTGCTGTACGCGCCATTTGAAATTTCAAAATATCTCGCTTCTCTCATAACTTGTACACATAATTTTTCACGTATCTGTTCGAATATGTGTAGAAAGCATCGAATAAGATGCAGCTGATCATAGTTTGCTAAGAAACACGTAGGAAGCATGTTCGATTGTTATTTGTATTTTGGCTGCGTTCGGAAATGTCGCTCGGATGCCTTCAGTGGGTTCAGAAGCGACGACCGTTCACTGAGCGCTCACTGAGTAAAAAAGGGATTAATCTCTGATTAATATATTTATTTGTTATAATTCGTAATGTAAAATAACTTGTCTATTATCGATAATTTTTAATATATTCCTTACTTATTTATTACTGTTTATTATTTCTCTAATGTCGTGTTTGGGCCGTAAGGTTATGTAGCGCTCAGTGAGCGGTGAAGCGATTTTCTTACGGTCCAAACACGGCATTAGAGAAATAATAAACAGTAATAAATAAGTAAGGAATATATTAAAAATTATCGATAATAGACAAGTTATTTTACATTACGAATTATAACAAATAAATATATTAATCAGAGATTAATCCCTTTTTTACTCAGTGAGCGCTGTCATTGAGCGGTCGTGGTACTGTATACATCCCCCCCCCCATACCACAGATTCATCATCTATCCTCGTTTAACATTTAATGTTAAAGAAGGACAGATGACGAATCCGAGGCATCGGAGGCATCCGAGCGACGTTTCCGAACGCAGCCTTTAATGCGTCGTCTACAATGGCAGTATCAGTAATGAATGAGACTTAAGAGTAAGAAATTGACCAATCACAGTCAATTATCCTTCTTACATTCAACTGTGATTGGTCAATTTCTTACTCTTACAGCCTCATCCATTACTAATACTGCCATTGTAGACGACGCATAAAGTATTCATGATTTCGAGATCGCGCGCGCAGATCCGATCGAGCGGCTGCCGTGAGTTTCATCTTGTCAGAGTATATCGGTTCGGAATCGTTCCGTGAGTAACCGCGAATTTCATCCGTCAAGAAGGTCAAGAATGTACGATGTGCGCGAATTTCTGTCGGAAATGTCGACCAAAGCAACGGGTTATCGTCAGAAGTTATTGGTTAATAGCAGGGTTGGCAAACGTTACTTTTCAGTTACTTTGTCGTTATTTTTTATAGTAAACAATTTGATGACGATGTTGCAATTTTTTATGACGATAACGCTAACTAACTAAACGCTAAGGTTGTACTAAAGTTAGAAAAGTCACTTTCAAAAGTAACTTGTCACTATTATGCGTTACACCAAAAAAATTATAAGTATAACGAGTAACACGTAACGTTACGCGTAATGTTACTCGTTACTAAAAAGTTACAAATTAGGAGTTATTTTTTTCAGTAACGAATGACTTTTTCAATCCATTATAAGTAACGATTGACTTTTCTAACTCTGATGTTAGCATTACAATCATAAAAAATTCACAATGTCATTATCAAATTTGTTATTATAACAAGGTAACGATCAACAAAGTAACGGCGTTACAAGTAACGCATTACTTGCCAACCTTGGTTAATAGCGTTAACACGGACTCTCGTGATCAAAGCCATCTAGTCGATCGTTTGACGTTACGCCATGCTTCGTAAGAATCGTGCATCAACGTATAGTAAGCACAGATTCCGACGGTATTTTATATTGCGAAAATCACTATTACGTTCTTGTGAGAGATTTGAAGCGAGATATGATTTTTCTTTGAATGTGACTTGAACAATTAATAGCATTTTCGGCCCGGCCGGGTTTGTACCAGGGTTGTTATGTTTAAAACATTTGTATTTAAAACAAATGTTTAAAATATGTTTTATACACTGTACTGTTTTAAACAAACATATGT